AAAAAAAAAAAAAAAATCTTCTGAGGGCGCCTGGCTCAGTCGGTTAAGCATCTGCCTTCAGCTTCATGCTTCAGCTCAGGTCGTGATGCCAGGGCCCTGGGATCGAGTCCCGCATCGGGCTCCCTGCTCAGCGAGGAGTCTGCTTCTCCCTCTCCCTCTGCCTGCCGCTCCCCCTGCTCATGCTCTCTCTCTCTCCATCTCTGTAAATCTCTCTCAAATAAATAAATAAAATCTTTAAAAAGAAATCTTACGAGACATAATTTTCTTTTTTTATGTCCTGATGTTTTATAGAGGCCTCTATTTATAGGTATAGCACATCTTTTTTGTGTTCGCCTACCTATAATCTCTACCTTATTTGAACCTCTCTATTCAGCTTTGCTAATTATCTGTTCTTTGTCTAAAACGGTCTGCTTCTAACATTTTTTCATAAGGCTTACCTGCTCTCTCTTCTCCAACCTTCCAGATATCCACACAGTTTTTATTTAGCACCTAAGTGTAATTATGCAATGAATTACAAATACCAGAGCAGTATCTTCAATACAGCAATTTAATTTTGTATAGAGGCTCTCAGCCAGGAACCTCCAGGGGACATTTGGCAGTGTCTGAACATATTGTTGTTTGTCACAACTGTGGTGGGGGGGGAGTGCTACTGCATCTAGTGGGTAGAGGCCAGGGGATGCTGTGAAACACCCCACAATACAGAGAACGGCCCTCACAACAATAATCCAACCCCAAATGCCGGTACTGCTAAAGTTGAGAAACCCTGCTTTATATGAATCTAGAGCAGAACAGGTTTCTATTCATTTTATTTCCTAAACTCTTCTGTAAGTGGATCAGCCAAGGACTAGATTATAGTGAACTCTGCCTTTAGATAAGATAGCAAAGATTTTTGTTACACACAATTCAATGCTATTAAATAGTAATCCATAGCTACCATATATTGGCAACAGCAGTCAAGGATTAATGATATACTACAGCATATCTAATGGTATGAATTTTTAGAGAGAATTAGTTTGAGGGATCGGCATGGTTACAATTTCTCCCTTCTAGGCCCACTTCTGTCACCATCCTACAGTCACAGACAAAAATGTTGAACTCACTTGTTTTTATTAGCCTCTTATATGGGTATAATAACATTTACAGCTTTTCCTTTCAATAGATTATTATACCGTGCCCTTATGGACTTTCTCATCAGGCAAACTTTGAGTAGAACTAGGTGTGTTCTGACAGAATGTTTTTCTGGAGACCCAAGAAAACAAGCTTTGTGGAGTAACAGGGTAGTTCATCACCTTCCATTTTCTTGTGGAAAGTAGAATTCTTGACTTTTAAAAAACTGTAAAAGGAATCTCTTAGAATCTCTGATTGTGTCACCCACAGCTATCATTGACAGGTTTTCAACACAAAAGAACAACTTCAGTGGGCACAAGGGCCATAGAGTATAGCCTGTTAAGATTGAAGAAAAGTAATATTTAGTGGTTTAGTGGTAAGAGACCATCTCACCTATTACCAGAAATCTGAGTAATGTCTATCTTAACAAGATTTCATCCCCCAATATCTGAAAGATATGCTGAAATATCTTTTAAAAATCATGTGACATCATGTATCACATTCTATTGCTTGAGGACTTCTGGTTTTGATATGAACAGTGGCTACTAAGAATTAAACTGTTAGTGGCGGTAAGTTACGTAGCCAGAGAACTTTTCGGAAATGGAACGTGGAGTTTATTTTTCAAGAGGATAATTGAAATAAACGATATTTCAATTATTCAGATATTAGTGAATATTAGATAACAAAAATCATACACTTATTATGTAGAAATTGTTGGCAGTTAATAATGTTCCAAGGAGGGGTGCCTGGGTGGCTCAGTCGGTTAAGCATCTGCCTTCAGCTCGGGTCATGATCCCAGGGTCCTGGGATCGAGCCCCACATCAGGCTCCCTGCTCAGTGGGGAGCCTGCTTCTCCCTCTCCCTCTACTGTTGCCCCTGCTTGTGCTCTCTCTCTCTGTCAAATAAAATCTTAAAAAAAAAAAAAAAATGTTCCAAGGATGGGGGCTCCTGGTTGGTGCATGCAGTCTGTTAAGCGTCCTACTCTTGGTTTCTGCTCAGGTGGTGATCTCAGGGTCATGAGATCAAGCCCCATGCCACCCTCCATGCTCAGTGCAGTCTGCTTAAGTTTCTCTCTCCCTCTCCCCATGCCCCTCTCCCCAACTTACTCTCTAAAATAAATAAATCTTCAAAAAAAAAAAAGTTCAAAGGATGGAGTGATCTCAGAATTCTTCAGAGCTTAAGTCTCTTAGTAAATATTGGATTAAAATTAAAATTTTGAAGAAACATTAATTAAAGTATCCTCTGAAATACTGTTTTCTTTCACCACCAGAAATTGGGTAAATTGTCCAAAATATGATTGAATTTATAGGACCTCCTATTTATCTCTTTGTCAAGTATTTTTCTAAAAAATTTTCTACAGGAGCAGTTTGCTTTGGTGGACTTCAGCCTTTGCCCCAAAGAATTCTTTCTCAGAGCTTCTGAGGTTTTTTCTATCAGTGAGTAGGTTTGAATCTCATCAGTGTCAACCTGGGTAGATGCATAATTCTTGAATTTTCCAAGCTATAAGGTGGTCTAGCTTTGTCATTCTTTGTGGTGTGTGTTTGTATGTTCAGTACTGCTACATTTTACAACCAAAAATGATAGCTAAAAGCGCTGTTTCCCCAAAGCCTAGCAAGAGACACTTGAAAAAAGTGTGACCCTGTTGAAATAAATTTCAGCAATGTGCATACACTGGTCTCTCTCTTGAGAATTAACAGTGTATGTTAACTTATTAGAAACAGTTGTGGAGGCTGGAAAGGAAGGGTTGAACAGAATATCTATTTGCATTTAAAGAAATAGTACCACAGATCAGATGTTAAGACCTACTAGCTTAAAGTGTTATTTTAAGGATAATTTTGCCTCCTTTCTTTTCCTGCTTTGTCTTGTTTTAAACTATGAATGATTCTGACACTAAAATCTCCCCCTTCCTATTGCCTTTTATTGTGCCATGTTGGACTTGTTTGATGACTGTACTAGAAACATTTCAGTAATTTGCTCTCTTTATATTGAGAAATAGGTCCAGTATTTTCTATGACATTTAGCCATTGCTTGTTTGGTGTGGATTCCCTTTGGCCTCATATTTTAATGTCTATCTGGTTCCCACTGGAATGAATGAGAATATCCGATTAGCCTACGTTGTTTTTCTTGTAAGGTAGGCAGTTGTTCTTTTTAATTCCTCTAATCTCTGTTTCTACAGGCCTGTCATCTTTACTTCAAAGTGTTACCGGGAACCCAGTCCCAGCCAGTGAAGCTGCATCTCAGAGCACTTCAGCTTCCCCTGCCAACACCACAGTCTCTAGCATAAAAGGAAGAAATCTGCCCTCCAATACCCAATCCTTTATTCCCAAAAGCTTCAATTATTCTCCTAATTCATCAACTTCTGAAGTCTCTTCAACATCAGCCAGCAAGGCCTCAATTGGGCAAAGCCCAGGGCTCCCAAGCACTACTTTTAAGCTACCATCCAACTCTGTTGGGTTTACAGGAACCCACACTACTAACCCTGCTGCCCCACCTACTGAAGTTGCCATGTGCCAATCTTCAGAGATCGCCAAGCCAAAGCTGGAGTCCGAGTCCACCTCTCCAAGCCTGGAAATGAAGATCCACAACTTCTTAAAAGGTAATCCTGGTTTCAGTGGCTTAAACTTAAACATCCCAATCCTGAGCAGCTTGGGGTCCAGTGCCCCAACAGAAAGCCACCCCTCAGACTTCCAGCGTGGCCCTACTAGCACGTCAATCGACAACATTGACGGAACCCCCGTGCGGGACGAAAGGAGTGGGACGCCCACCCAGGATGAGATGATGGACAAGCCCACATCCAGCAGTGTAGACACGATGTCCCTGCTTTCTAAGATCATTAGCCCTGGTTCCTCAACACCCAGCAGTACAAGATCACCACCCCCTGGGAGAGAGGAAAGCTACCCCCGGGAACTCTCCAATTCTGTACCTACATATCGACCTTTTGGCCTGGGCAGTGAATCACCCTATAAGCAGCCTTCTGATGGAATGGAGAGACCATCTTCCCTGATGGACTCTTCGCAGGAAAAGTTCTATCCAGATACTTCTTTCCAGGAAGATGAGGATTACCGAGATTTTGAGTATTCAGGGCCTCCACCCTCTGCCATGATGAACCTAGAGAAGAAGCCAGCCAAGTCTATCCTGAAGTCAAGCAAGCTTTCTGATACCACCGAATACCAGCCAATCCTCTCCAGTTATAGCCACAGGGCCCAAGAATTTGGGGTAAAGTCTGCCTTCCCTCCATCTGTAAGGGCCCTCCTGGACTCTAGTGAGAATTGTGACCGTCTGTCCTCTTCCCCTGGGCTATTTGGTGCCTTCAGCATAAGAGGGAGTGAACCGGGGTCTGACCGGTCACCATCACCGAGTAAGAATGATTCATTTTTCACCCCTGACTCCAACCACAGTAGCTTGTCTCAGTCTACCACTGGGCATCTCGGTTTGCCACAGAAGCAGTACCCAGACCCTCCTCACCCAGTCCCACATCGTTCCCTTTTCTCTCCGCAGAATACCCTTGCCGCTCCCACGGGCCACCCACCCACACCAGGCGTGGAGAAAATCCTGGCCCCCACCATTTCCACCACGTCGACGATTGAGTTTAAGAATATGCTTAAAAACGCCTCCCGAAAGCCCTCAGACGATAAGCATTTTGGCCAGGCACCCAGCAAGGGCACTTCGAGTGATGGTGTCAGTCTCTCAAACCTCGCCCAGCCCAGCTTGACAGCCACTGAGCAGCAGCAACAAGAAGAGCACTACCGCATAGAAACCCGAGTCTCCTCCTCCTGCTTAGACTTGCCTGATAGCACCGAAGAGAAGGGGGCCCCTATAGAAACCTTGGGTTATCATAATGCATCCAATAGGAGGATGTCAGGGGAGCCGATACAGACCGTAGAGTCCGTCCGAGTTCCTGGGAAGGGAAATAGAGGACACGGGCGTGAGGCTTCAAGGGTGGGTTGGTTTGATCTGAGCACCTCAGGCAGCTCCTTTGACAATGGCCCCTCAAGTGCCTCTGAGTTGGCATCCCTTGGGGGTGGGGGCAGCGGAGGCCTCACTGGCTTTAAAGCGGCACCATACAAGGAACGGGCACCCCAATTTCAGGAAAGTGTCGGCAGCTTCCGTTCCAACAGTTTCAACTCAACATTTGAGCATCATCTCCCCCCGTCCCCCTTGGAACATGGGACACCCTTCCAGAGAGAGCCAGTGGGGCCATCATCTGCCCCACCTGCCCCTCCTAAGGATCATGGTGGTATCTTCTCTCGAGATGCACCCACTCATCTACCCTCTGTGGATCTTTCGAACCCCTTCACAAAGGAGGCGGCCCTGGCCCATGCCGCCCCACCCCCTCCTCCTGGAGAGCACAGCGGAGTTCCTTTCCCCACCCCACCCCCTCCTCCACCCCCTGGGGAACATAGCAGCAGTGGTGGGAGTGGTGTCCCCTTTTCTGCTCCACCTCCTCCTCCACCCCCTGTTGACCACTCTGGGGTTGTACCCTTCCAAGCCCCACCACTGGCAGAGCACGGAGTGGCGGGAGCTGTGGCAGTATTTCCCAAGGACCATAGTTCCCTCCTTCAAGGGACCCTGGCTGAGCATTTTGGGGTGCTCCCAGGACCCAGGGACCATGGGGGCCCCACCCAACGGGACCTCAACGGCCCTGGCCTTAGCCGTGTACGAGAGAGCCTCAGCCTACCCTCCCATTCTCTGGAGCACCTGGGCCCAGCCCATGGAGGAGGAGGTGGGGGAGGCAGCAACAGCAGCAGTGGCCCCCACTTGGGTCCCTCACACAGAGACGCCATCAGCCGGAGTGGTATGATTTTGCGGAATCCCCGGCCAGACTTTCGGCCTAGGGAACCTTTTCTCAGCAGAGACCCGTTCCACAGTCTAAAGAGACCCAGGCCACCTTTTGCTAGGGGCCCTCCGTTCTTTGCACCAAAACGCCCATTCTTCCCTCCCAGGTACTGATGGAAACCAAGGGAAAAGCATTTTGAACAGTCTAGAGAGCATTGGAAGTAGGAGTTTGGTTTATTGTTGTTTTTATTTGTTTTCCTTCCTTTGATTTTTTTTTTTTTTTTTAATGACAAAGGGCCTCCCTTCCAAATTAAAAAGTCATACATGCTTCCATTTCACTATTCCTTCCAGTCCTCCTTCCCACTGCACTTACCGACCTTCCCCCAAGCTACTTGTATTTTAAGGGGGCGGGGGGGCAAAGAAACACAACCAAAGCCACTTCACTTGGCTGGGGGTTTGAGGGGTGGGGAGGAAAACAAATCTTATTTTACCCCATTTATTGAAGAGTATTATTACATTTGAAATAAAACTTCCATCAGTACAGAGAATAACATGTGCAATGTTGGGATGTTATTTTGGGTTTGGCTTATCACGTAGTCAATGGAAGGACTCCTGTCCCCTTCTCTCTTCCATTAAGTAACTGCTGTGACCAGCGTGGCTCCCTTTCCTATATGCTCTGTGCGCTGCTGACAAGCCAAAAGATGTTGCAAGGGAAGATAGGTGGGAGACCATGGACCTGTCAAGTTTGTTTGTTTTGTTTTTAAAGACATACTGAAGTTGGGTTCTTTACCTTTCTCTTAAAATCTTAATTAAAAAAAAAAATCAGCCTCTTCTAAAGGACTATCCGTCATTAACTTTGAGGGAGATACAGATCTCATTCTATCCTAGTAAAAATTACTCCTCTTTATCCTTGGAATGAAAGAGCGGGGACTGGATATAATCTCCAGGTTAAAATAAGGTATAAACTCCAATACAGAGTAGAGAAAGGAACCGGTAAGCGGTGCAGTGTGACCTGCCCATCCCTCATAAACGAGAATGGGAGACTTTTTGAGGTAGTTTGATATGTCTTGCACCAAGCTCTTGCTTCATGTCTTTCTTGCTTGCTTGACTTTATCTCCCTCAGTTTTCACTTCTGCTTTGGCTGGAAAGAAAGTCATTACAGGTGACAGTTGATACAAAGACGCAACTAAAATATTATCCCTGTATTTTTTAATGTAAAAGGTAGACGTTTTTACCATGGTGCCTCCCTAATGTAAGTGATAATTGTTGGTGGTTTTTAGCAAGGGTTAACTACTAGGGAAAGAGAGCTATTGGCCTGTATCTTTCTTTCCTCCTTGCCCTAGTCCTGTATTTAGCCCTGTTCTTGGTATTTCAAAGGAGAGGTTCAATAGTATCTTTCAATGCTTTACACCTCTTTAGGTGTGTCTTAATGACAAGTGGGTATCACTATACATATTTTTACAGAGAACCAGGAGGACCTGAGAAATCCAGATTTACCCCATTCTACAGCCAACACATTTCAAGGCTCAAGCCTTATCCTCACCTTCCACTCCCAATAGGAAATAAAAATTTCTGCCCTTAGTCATTTTACACGAGAAGGGTGTGCTTTCCTTCTCCCCAAACTGAAAGAAAGGCTTCTTTGTATTTCTACAACTAGTACTGGGAAAAAAGACAATCAGTATGCTTTGAGTGTTTATAACTTTGTATCTGGGAATACTGAAAAGCAAAGATTGCTTTACTATTATTTTGTGTTATTTAGTGTCTTACCCCAAGGTATACACACTGGTAATCTCCAGCTAGATAAGTAAAAAAATATGTGTTGTGGGTTGGTTTTTTGTTTTTTTGTTTTTTGTTTTTTAGGGAATCCTAGCAAGTTTCGTATTTTCTTCCAAGTGAGCATAGAACTAACTGTAGGAAGTACGGGGATATTTTGGATTCCTCTTGTGAAATATTAAAGATGGGGGAGAGTGGACAACGTAGTGACAGAAGATGATTCTTTGTGTCAGAATAAACTTGCCTTTCAGATAAAGAGCAGCTTAAACCAGTTGTGCGTCATGGTTTGGGAGTTTTTGTGTAATTTATTCCATGTTATTTATTTGGGCTCACCAGGTGTTCTGTGGTTAGGAGGCTGCAAGTCCTTCAACTTCCTGATGCATTTCTGGTCTTAAGTCAACTGTTCTTTCTTTGACCCTCTCCAGCCTCTCTGCCCTGTAGCTCTCCCCACAAAAATGCATGATACCATGACCTTGTGTGTGGGATGGGGTATATAGTGTAGCAAAGCAAAGAAACAATATAGTTACCTTGAGTCCTGAGACATTTGTTTAGGGGAAAGTGTGATCGAGAGTAAGGGTAGGGGTGGGGGGGGAGGGAGAGTTCTAATTGATTCAGAATTGAAACTTTTTTTGCAGAAATTAAGTGGGATGTTTTTCATTCTAGAATAAAAGAATGTGAATTCTTTCTGCTGCTCTTGTTTAAGCTAAAAGTAGTGTTTACTTGAAAAGGCTCTCTGACCGTTTGATTTTATCAGAAAATGTGGGGATGTCAGGGAAGTGGCTTCCTGAATGTTGGGGCAGGGTAATTGTCTTCAAAAGCATGATGACTAATACATGAAAGGAAGACCTTGTTGTACAGTTTAAAAGATGGACTTTAAAGGGTTGGGGGTTTTTTGCAGGGTGTTTTGCTTTTTAAGCTACAAAATCCTCATTGAGTTTGTTTCAGGATGGAAGTGAGGATTTGTATGTGACTGTCAGCTGTTAACTTTAAGGAAATCTGTCTACAGCAGTAAATGAAGACAACAATGTATATATGTGATATAGTGAAACAAAAAAGACAATTCTGGTATTCATAACATGAAACAAGGGGGTTTTATCCTTTCTGTGTCTGTGATTTAAAACTCCGTGCCCATGCTCTGACTTTTGTATTTCAACCTGAGTTTAAAAATATAATAAACAAAAAAATTTTTTTTAAGAAAGCATAATATAGTGTGTCTTGGCAAGGACATGATTTATATGAGAGCAGAATATGCGAAGTTGTTACTAAGGTCCTTGGTGCTCACTGTAAAATCACAGACAGAGAATTGGGGGGGGGTCATGAATACACTGGTACCACTTAATTCAGTGATAGTATCAGAAATCAAGTCCTTAAGTACTGTATAAGAGTTTACTCTTCAGTCAGCTTAGATGAGAGCCCTCTCCCCGCTCCCCTCTGCCCTCCCAAAAGATGAGCATAAATAGATTTTGGGTTGATGCCAGGGAAGGTAAAATGATCAGAGAGTAGGACTTTTATCCTTTCCGATCCCAGGAATACAATGTTTGTGATATACATGGTACAGCTAACCTATCTAGATAATGTGAATATGCTAGACTTCCTAATTGCAGAATATTCACTATCCTGAAGTTACCGGTTCATGCAGAATTAAGCTTCAGCTGTTAATTGTTTTGAAGCCGCTGTAAATTACTGCTTTTCCCCTTTTTTCCTCCCCCACCCCTTTTTTTTAATGGGCGGGGGTGCCTGTTAAGATTAAAATTAGATATGTTGGATGATATTCTCACGTGTTCGGTGTGGAAAACAACAAGTACATGCTTTAGAGGCAACAACAATGAAATCCTTTTGAAATGTGTATTAATATCATTTAATAAAATAACTAGTTCTGAAGGTTTGACATTTTTCTTTGAGATTTGGGGCTTTGACCAAAGGCTCCTGACTTCTGTGGTGAGCGCAACTAGGAGGGAACGTCTCCAGGAGCTGAAACTGCTGCTTTATGGAGCAGGCCTATGGTTGGAAAATCTAAATTTTCTCCAGCAAAGACCCTTCTACATGACTGTCCAGGGCTGAAGGTGAAACCGATGACAGGATGCAGAAAGGAAGCCTGGATATATCTCTGAAGATCTGATTGTATTGGCTTTTGGTCTAAGTGCGAGGGGGATCGAGGGGACTGTGTATGCTCCTGCACATCTCTGAGGCACACCGATACCACAGACCACCCGTCTTGTCCCTTCCTTGTGACCACTTACACTTGCCTCTCTTCCAACCTTTCCTTTTTTTTTTTAATCTTTGTTCCCAATAGTATGTTTTTGTTTTCCAGTTTAATAAAGTATGGTTTCCTTTGTTGTGTGGTTGACTTTCCCCCTCTCACACTGATCTTACCCAGGTGTCCCCTTTGACTTAAGCATTCAGTGTCACTGAAGGCAATCTGAGCCTCTCAGATCCCCATGACCTTGTGGGTTTTCTCTTTGATCCTTTGTGTAATTCAGTTTTGAAAAGGGATGATGGGTGGGGTGAAGTCAAGATGTTCAAGGAGTGGTTGGTAATGAAGTGGGATATATTGTATGGATAATTATTTGTGTATGTCTTCAAAAAGTTGTACAATTTTTAAGTGAAGAAGCATTTTTAAAGCAAGCATAGAGGGGGCGCCTAGGTGACTCGATTAAGTGTCCAACTCTTGATTTTGGCTCAAGTCATGATCTCAGGTTTGTGAGATTGAGCCCCACATCAGGGTCCACACTGGGTGTGGAGCCTGCTTAAGATTTTCTGCCCCCCCCCCCAAAAAATAGATTTAAAGCAAGCATAGAGTTGGGGGAGGCAGTGTTGGTAGGGTTCCTTCTGGTCAATTCTTTACCCGCATCTACCCTTCTTGCTGCATGTTGGCAATCTATCATACATAAGCCACACTTAACCCCCCTGTCTTGCCCCATCCCTTTTTCATACTCCAGTGAAGCTTAATAAATGGAATGTTAGCTTTACGGGGTAAAGAGAGTCACTGCATCCTGACCCCGCCTGGGTCACTGGCAGGGAAGAAGGCTGTAAATAGCAGCCTTCATTACATGAAGCTACATGGATGTGTCACCGGACACTTCAGAAATAGCAGCCTAGGAACACACCCAGTATGTAGGGTGTACAATTGTACTGGCTGTTTATGGAATCTGGCTCACCTTTTTCCCTGTCCCCTCTTGGAACTTTGACTTGCCCAACTGCTTTCTTTCTCCATCTCCAAGGAAGCAACAGCTTTTAGACTTCCACATTCGTCTTTCTGGGCATGTTGAAAACGCATAACTTCATCCCCTGGAATTGTTTTTATTTAAGCCAATCTTGTATAAGAGGGATGAGTTACCCCCTTGTGTATGTAGACAGTAACACACCATCCAAATGGGTTTTGGGGTATTGGGGCGTTTCTCATACTTGTTTATGAGTAACTGTATAGACAAGTCCGGTCAGCTGCTGTTCACAATTGCTGAGTAATAACTCATTGAGGCTGCATAGACAAAGCCACAAGAGATTAACCCGTAAGTGAGATAGCAGCTCTTAAGTAAACATCCTGTTCTCCCTTCCCCCTTGTAGAAGTAAGGAGAAGCACACATGCTTTAAAGGAAAGGAGCAAGTGCAATGTAAAACTAAGAATCAAATTGCTTCTAACTGGGCCGGGCGGGGCGGGGGGGGGAGACATTTTATGCTTAGTTACAAGTCTGGGGGAAAGGGCATAAGAAGGCTGATATCTATTTGATATTGAAGTTACCTTATGGCACTATGATTTTATTTTGTTGTTGTTTTCTCTCCCTTTGTTACACAAGAGTCAAAAGTTGAAAATACAGATGTGGGTGGAGGGGCTAGTGACCAGTACCAACAGAGAAAACAAGTACGGGCTGCAGGGTTTTGTTTGATTCAAAAGGGTGCTGGGTAAACCAGTCTGCCCTGAGTCTGTTGGGTTCATAGCAAATCAGATGTTCCAGCAACTTTACTTTCTTCCTCATCCCCGTTCTGTCCCCTCTCTTTTTGCGAATTACTCAAATCCTTTGCTGCATAATTTGTGGGAAAGGAGCTAAGAGAACTTGAAACTTTTTGCATTTTCCTTGCCATATTTCAGTTGGAATGGGTAGAAACAAAGGAGATACACAGCGTCCAGTTCCTTGGCTAGGAATCCTTTACACTTGGGTGAAAACAGTTCACATCCTGTATCTTCTAGATAGCCAATCATTGCCAAGGGCAATAGAGCTTAGTAAAGGATTAATTTGAAATCTTGATTATTGGGTAGTGGGCCTTAGTTGTACATTGCCTTCTAGAGATGTATCTAGGACTTTCTTCCACAGTACTTTGCTCTTGCCTTTGTTTTTTACTTCAACATCAACCTAAGCTGACACATCCCAGCACTGGCTCCTGTGTTTGGCCTCACCTGACAAATCAGGGTCATTTAAGGGCGGGGGAATGGAGATGGCTTTGTTTCTCTTCTACAGACTCAAGAGTTGTCTTGGAGAAAGGAAGTCATAGTAGAGATTCTAGGTAAGCCGAAGGCTTTTTCAAAACAGAGTTCAACTCATCCCCATGCCCTGGTAGGAAGCTTCCCCCCCCCCTTTTTTTTTTTAATCAGCAAATGTGGCTAGACAAAGTTTTTTTTGGCATCTTAAAGCAAAGTTAAAAGCTTGGCCCCATCCTACATCTTCATCACTAAGTTGGGGGGGGGGTTCTGTTTCGTTTTGTTTTTAAATAAATCTAACCTCCCCACACCTACTGTACTTTTAGCCACTTGGCCAGTTCTCTGGGCTTCAAAAGCATTTGGTGACAATGACAGAAACCTTTATATATTTTACCCTCTTAAATTTCTCTTTTTTACCTCTGGCATCTTTACTTCTTAGGTGCAGGGAAATTTTGTGAAGAGCTAAGATAGATTTTGGGTATATGTTGATCCTGATGACAAGTGGAAATGTACTTTACCTTCAATGGAGAGCATTCTTACATACAGTTTAGGAATATAAAAATAATACCTGTTCAACCAAAGCTTTAGCTAACTTGTGATGTTTATTCTAAAGGTAGAGTAAAGCTGAGAATTTCCCAAAGTGTGACCAATAGTCTAGCATACCCTTAACTGAGGATTGCCTTTTCTCTGGACTTCTCTGAAATCTGCTGGCATGATTTCCTAAACACTTATTTTTCCTTAACTTTGGTTAGAGAAAATCTGATAAGATACTTCTTTTCTTGGCTTTTTATTAGACCCCTCTTTTCACTCTATATTAAAGGCCTCTTTGGCCCTACAAGTGATGTACCCTGCAGAGAAAAAGGGAGCTCTGCTAACAAACATGATGCATTAGGGCTATTCTGGTTGCTGAAAGGCAGCATGGCATAACACAGGCTTTGGATTCAGATGGGCTAGGGCTTGACTTCTCTGAGGATCGTTTTCCATGTTTTATTTTTTTAAAGATTTTATTTATTTATTTGAAAGAGAGAGAATGAGAGAGAGAGAGGGCACATGAGAGGGTCAGAGGGAGAAGCAGACTCCCCGCCGAGCAGGGAGCCCGATGCGGGACTC